ATGTCCATTATATTGTAGGTCATAGCGATTAGAAAGCCATTTATATTTGTGTCTTTTATGTATGTAAACATTTCAGGTGTTGTTGCTAGAAATGATTTTAACTTGCTAAATTCTGACAAACGAAACGTTTTGTGTTTATGTTCATTTATAAAACGATAAAATCACTTTAGCATTTCCATCAAAACACCTTGACAATTTTATGGTAGAATTATTAAAATTCTAAAACATTTCTTTAGAAATAAAAAGATATAAATAAACTCAAGCCAAATGTTTTGTGTGGTTTCGATCATCAGCGTTAACCATTCTTGTAACTTTTTTCTTTTGTTAGTCGTTATTCTTTTTTCTTACAACTTGTAAGAAAATCTCACTAAAATGATCAAATAAAAACTTCCTGTGTTGAATGAAGTAAATATTACTTCAAAGGAACCGAACATTTATTATGTTGTTACAAAAAAAAATAATATTGATTGTGCTTTCTGGTGAATGATTTATTTAATTCAACCGATTTGGTGATTTTTTTTTAAGTGTTTAAATCCCCTGTCTCGTTTGCGTGTCTCAGGTATAGACGTGGACAAAGCGAGAAAGGAGGAGGAGAGGATCATGCTTCAGGACGCCATGGCAATGCAGGAAGGAGGCGGGACTCTGATTCCTCACCCAAACACAAAGGCCACAGCTCTGCACGTTGCTGCTGCCAAGGGTTACATCGAAGTCCTGAAGTGAGCATCGCTGCAGTCTGTCTCAATTCTGGCATCAAACACTTTTCCCTTATAGCCATGTCCTCTCCTCCAACGTTCTCGGTCAGGGTACTGTTGCAATGTGGTGTGGACGTGGACAGCACGGACACCGACGGGTGGACGCCGCTGCACGCTGCAGCTCACTGGGGCCAGAAGGAGGCGTGCAACCTGTTCGTTGAGCACATGTGCGACATGTGTGCTGTCAACAACGTGGTGAGTGCACAGCAACCTTTAAATTTCACCAAATACATTTTTTAGCTGAATCTCCTATTCTGACTGAGGAGGTGCTGCTAATGTCCTCGTAGGGACAGACGCCTTTAGACGTTGCAGACGAGAACCTCGTGGACACTTTGGAGGAGCTGCAGAAGAAACAGAATGCTGTGAGTCCCCCCACCCCCAATCAGCTGGTTGGATAAACCTGATGTGACTGATGGTCTCACAGCAGCGAGCGCTCTCTGTGTTTATGTCTGTTTATGTTCCTCTTCAGCTCCGCATCAAGAAAGAGAAGCAGACTCCTGTTATAGAGACCAGTTCACATGTCTCCACGGTACCAGCTCGCACACGCAGGTTGGTGTCTGTGTGTATGTGTGTGTGTTTGTGTGTGAAGAGGCCTTGTCTTTAGGTGGAGAACGTCAGCCTGTCACATGACTGTCGGAGCTGGTGAGGGTGAGGCAGCTGCACTCAGGACAGGCCCGACTCTGTTGGCGCTCCCTAGGAGCAGCCTCTTCAGCTTCAGTGGCGTTCACGTGACTCGTTTTTATTTCCAGACACAGTCATGTCTCCTAAAATCAATGTCAGTTCACTTGTTTCTCTTTATACTGATTCTTTTTTAAAGGGCCTTTACGGAGTTTTGAATTTTTATGCTCGCGATTGCCCCCTCAGGCCAAAAGCGTAACGGCACCTTCAATAGTAGGCTCGTGCACGAGGCGCGCATGCTGTATGTGCACACTCCTTAATGAAAATGTGTGTGTGTGCGTGTGTGTGTGGCCCGGAGGACAGAGGACAGGAGAATGCGCCGCTAATTAATTAAATAATTTGGTTCTGTACCTTTCTCTTCAGCACAACCGACAAAGGTTTATGATGGGTCAGTCTTCCTGCATGCTCAGATCATTCCCTTCCCTTGCTTGAAAAATTGTTCCAAAATGAAAGTTGAACCCACATCTTTTTTATCTGTGAATTCAATACCGTTCGGCGAGTCTCAAATAAAAATTTGGGCATCTTACTGTAAAAAAATATACCATTAATGTAAAAAAAAGAAACTCTAAATAAACTATGTTCACATCCAGAATCGAACCCAGGTCTGCTGCACGAGAGTCCGACATCTTACTAAAGCGCCAGCAACTTCTTTTGTATCTGTAACATTTATATCCTTGATGACAGCTGAAACAACGTTCAAAGAACGGCTCGGAGCGAAAATGGCTATTTTGTTGCTAATTTGCAGGAAATATCTAGAAGAAAGTTCTTCAGAAAGTAGCTAAGGGTCCTCAGAAATGTAGCTAGCTTTGTCACTAGGCGTTAGGAACAGCGACAAAGACTAAAGCTACGGATAGCAAATGCTACGGGCTATTCCTGAGCGTGAACGCACATGAAGCAGCCTGCTCGACCCGAGCATCTCTCTTTTTCTATGATTTTACAGAAAAACAGGCAATCACAGTAAAAATGCCAGGGCTCATTCTACAGGACCAGGGCATTGCGGGAGAATGTATGAAGAAGAAATGTGTTATTTCTATACATGTTTTGGCTGTCAAACTTCCTTATAGTCCCTTTAAATACAAACAAACATCAGGCATTAGATAATTTTTTTTTAATTTTACCTGATAAGAACGTTTAACTAGAAAAAAACAGCAGATTTTAGAAAATTAAAACTATTAAATACATATTTTAACTAATTTTCCTCTGGGATGAGGGTGGTAAATGGTGGGAGAATACCACGTGTCCAACTTTATCATAAATGTTTTGGCCCTCAGGTTTAATTAAGGCTTTTGCTAATCATCTGGTTACCGTTTACCTGCTCACTCATTGTTCTTACATTTAATACCGCTGAGATCACACTTGATCCGGTTGTGTTTAGTACATTAAAAGTTTACTTTAGAGTAAAATGATCTATTGCACACAACTGTTGACTGTTAATTGTAAGTAGGTGATGTCGTGGTCTACATCTAATGTCTCTTTGCAAACACAGTGTTAGTTTGTGATGATGAAACTGCAGCTTTGTCCAACAAGGCTGTTATTGCTTTATGTAACAAACACCAAATTCTCTCAAATATTCTGTGTTGTCCGGAGATGATGGACATGAAAATGTTCAGTTAAATAGTTCTTTTTTTATATGCTGTGGCCTAAAATCGGAATTTATTCTAATTGGGAGTATGTTTTATTCCAGTTTGAGCAATAACAGATGTTCCATTTGTTTGTTTGTTTTACTTCCAGATAATATTTTTTTATTTAATCAGACAAATATACAAGTCGGTACCCGCTCACAGCCAGCATTGGTGCATTACTACTTCCTGAACAGCCTCTGTTTGAGGAAATAGTTTATTTATGTCTTACAAGACTGCTGAGTTGCACAGCCAAAACCAAAGTTTATAACTCTCATCGATTCTGCATTATGGTTATTTATAAGTGTTCATATCCCCAACATTAGCAAAATGTCAGGTGGTCAAGTTCAACTAGAGATTATTTATATTTCTGCTCAAAATAGCAAAGGGGAGAAAAAAAACGATAGAAAATAATTAATTTGTAATAATAATAATTTATAAAATAAAGTTTAATAATCCTCTGAAAAATCCTCGTTCTCAATTACAACGGCGATCCGGCCAGCGACAGACACATGGTTAGTGTTACACCAAAGAATAACAGATAAGATAAAACAAACGAGACAAAAATAAGAAAAAACAGTTAGACACAAAGACAAAAGACTGTTCTCATTTACAAGATGTACAAGCAATCAAAACAGACTTAAAACAGTCTTTAAGTACTCAGAAGCTCATTGATCAGAAACTATTGATCACATAGAATTATTGAAGGTAGATAATGGAATGTAGGTAGTGAGCTTCTGTGATTTCTGCAGCTCGTTCCAGTCGTTGGAAGCAGCAAACTGGAATGAGGAGCGGCCAAAGGAAGCGCGAGCTTTGGGAATAACCATAGAGATTAAGTTACTGGAACGTAAATTGCGCTGGTTGTTGGCGGTTTCTGCCGATGATTGTTTTGTATATAAATTGATACCAATGTAACAACCTGCAGAAATGAAGTGATGGCCAGTTAACGAGTGAGTACAGATCACAACGATGAGTGGTGAAAGAGACACCGGTGATGAAACAATGTCATTTACCACTCAGTGATAAATGCATTATCACTGAGCGTTTGTTTTTGTTTTTTTAAGCAGTCCTATAAATGATGTCACCATAATCTAAGATTGACGGGTTGTCATTTTGACCAAGGTTTGCTTTGCAGAGTCAGTAAAGGATGAGCTGTTGCGCTATAAAAACCCAATTCTTGACTTGACTTTAGAAAGTAATGAATTAATGTGAATATCAAGTGAAAGTGTGGTGTCAAGCGAGATACCCAGATACTTATACGAACTGACAAGTTGTAGTTCTGTACCATCCAGGGAAACAATACTAGGATGGAAAGTTTATTGTGAGTTACGGATGAAGATCATGAACTTTGTTTTACTTGTGTTTAAATGAAGAAGAAGGTTGAATGGAGGATAAAGCTGCATTCAAAGAAGAACTGCATGCATATAAAATGGTGTCATCTGCATATAAATATATTTGAGAACTGTCAACAGTGTGAACAATGTTATTAATATAGATTTTAGATAAGGTCCGGCCCAGTATTGACCCTTGAGGAACGCCCATAGATAGAGGTAGAGGAGCGGATTGGTAACCCTCTGTTCTCACCTAAGATATAACTTGTGCCACGGATGCCTGAGAAAGCCCTACATGTTTGAGCCTGCTAAGTAAGATGTTATGGTCTACAGAGTCAAAGGCTTTAGCCAAGTCAACAAACACAGCCATACATACACAAACACACACACACACACACATTCACACACAGATGATGAGCTACAATGTAGCCACAGCTGCCCTGGGGCACACTGACAGAGGCGAGAAATGTCAGTTTACTTAATAATCTTTGGGGGATTTTCCAGTACTAGAAAGAATAATACATAGAAAGTTATTGTATTCCCTATTAATATATATTTATACTACAGGGAGTGCAGAATTAGGCAAGTTGTATTTTTGAGGAATCATTTTATTATTGAACAACAACCATGTTCTCAATGAACCCAAAAACTCATTAATATCAAAGCTGAATGTTTTTGGAAGTAGTTTTTAGTTTTAGCTATTTTAGGGGGATATCTGTGTGTGCAGGTGACTATTACTGTGCATAATTATTAGGCAACTTAACAAAAAACAAATATATACCCATTTCAATTATTTTTACCAGTGAAACCAATATAACATCTCCACATTCCCAAATATACATTTCTGACATTCAAAAACAATACTAAAACAAATCAGCGACCAGTATAGCCACCTTTCTTAGCAAGGACACTCAAAAGCCTGCCATCCATGGATTCTGTCAGTGTTTTGATCTGTTCACCATCAACATTGCGTGCAGCAGCAACCACAGCCTCCCAGACACTGTTCAGAGAGGTGTACCGTTTTCCCTCCTTGTAAATCTCACATTTGATGATGGACCACAGGTTCTCAATGGGGTTCACATCAGGTGAACAAGGAGGCCATGTCATTAGTTTTTCTTCTTTTATACCCTTTCTTGCCAGCCACGCTGTGGAGTACTTGGACGCGTGTGATGGAGCATTGTCCTGCATGAAAGTCATGTTTTTCTTGAAGAATGCAGACTTCTTCCTGTACCGCTGCTTGAAGAAGGTGTCTTCCAGAAACTGGCAGTAGGACTGGGAGTTGAGCTCAGCCCGAAAAGGTCCCACAAGCTCATCTTTGATGATACCAGCCCAAACCAGTACTCCACCTCCACCTTGCTGGCGTCTGAGTCGGACTGGAGCTCTCTGCCCTTTACCAGTCCAGCCACGGGCCCATCCATCTGGCCCATCAAGACTCACTCTCATTTCATCAGTCCATAAAACCTTAGAAAAATCAGTCTTGAAAAATTTCTTGGCCCAGTCTTGACGTTTCAGCTTGTGTGTCTTGTTCAGTGGTGGTCGTCTTTCAGCCTTTCTTACCTTGGCCATGTCTCTTGAGTGTTGCACACCTTGTGCTTTTGGGCACTCCAGTGATGTTGCAGCTCTGAAATATGGCCAAACTGGTGGCAAGTGGCACCTTGGCAGCTGCACGCTTGACTTTTCTCAGTTCATGGGCAGTTATTTTGCGCCTTGGTTTAGCCGGGGATCTGCCAAAACGTAGATATTTTTCTACGTTTTGGCCTGTCATCCACACGAAAACGGATCTTTTTAAAAACTCCGGCCAAAGTGAAGATCTGCGTTTTCTCCGTTTTGGGTGTCTGCGTGTGGACAGAGAAAACCGGAGTTTTAAGGTCCGCAATGTCACTTTCCGCGACAAAAAAATGCTGACATCACGTGTGCGACCTGTGTTTACACTAGCCGACAGCATGGATGCCCTCAGAGCTGCGCTCACTTTATCAACTGTCCAAGCGCTTTTTGCTTGTTTGTTTTTGCTGCTCCTTGCGGAAGACCACAGACAAAGGACGAGGTTAAGAACGGGGGAAGTACTGCCGCCTACAGGTCTGGCATATCCTTAACAACGTATTTATCTGGGTACGTGTGGACAGAGTTTCTTTTTAAAACAAGGTGGTGTGGATGCAAGTTTTTGGAGGGGCGGATATTAGTTTTTTTTTTAAACCCGGCTACGTGTGGACTAGGCCTGAGCCTGTCAAGTCCTTCTTTTGACCCATTTTGCCAAAGGAAATGAAGTTGCCTAATAATTATGCACACCTGGTTTAGGGTGTTGATGTCATTAGGCCACACCCCTTCTCATTACAGAGATGCTCATCACCTAAAATGCTTAATTGGTAGTAGGCTTTCGAGCCTATACAGCTTGGAGTAAGACAACATGCATGAAGAGGATGATGTGGACAAAATACTCATTTGCCTAATAATTCTGCACTCCCTGTATATTAGAGGTGGCTAAAGTTCCACTCATTGATTCCATCCCCAGCATCAAATAAAGAGTCCCACTGCCCCACATGCTGCCTTGTTGATTGATAGCTCTGATTGGCTACACATGGACCCTTGCTGAACATGTCACCTGTTATTTCACTCCACCTCCTTTATGCAGGACTTCCATCTGTCGTATGAGCAGCAGGGAGAAGATCGGCCTCCACGAGCGGGAGAAGCACCCACCTCCCGCCCTGCAGAACACTCCGACAGAGGACGAGGAGGAGGACGGGCAGACGGGACAGAGCCAGCCCAAAGCCTCCAGCAGCTCCAGCTCGGAGGAGGAGAGCGAGTCTGAGAGCGACACAGAGTCAAGTGAGTGGAGCTGCTGATGATTCACCTGTGAGATTGTCATTGAGCTTTATAAATCTACATATGTTATTACATCCTGTTTAAAGCTAAAAACCGGGAAATCATCAACAACTTGAACAACAAACGAAACACCACCAGCCTGCTTTCTACCTCCATGTCAGCGAACACCGCTGCAAGCCAAGTGAAAAAGGTAGAAACGTAGAGAACAGATGTTCTGTTTTGCGTAATGATCGTTGCATAGATGAATAAAGCCTGGTGACTTTTGACATGGCAGGAACCATGCAAGCCCCCAGCCCCTGAAGCCCCTGGCTCATGGAGAACGTCTCTGAGGAAGGCGGGCAGCTCTGTTACTCTGGGCTCCGTCGGACTCGCCGACTCCAACCAGGACTCGAACAGACCTGCCGAGTCTGGCCTAGGAATGACCCGCTCTGCTTCCAGCCCCCGCCTCAGCTCTGAGGCCGACTCAAAGGTACACGCTTGCCTCTGAGATTTATACACACACACACACACATCTAAGTGCAGTCGTTATTTTATTTCTGGAGCATGACGGGCCAAATAAAGGCTTCTTTTATAGCTTCCACTCACCGAGTCGCATAAATAACCCACAGACGCGCTGTCCTGTCTTGTTTGCAGGAACCGAGGCTCGCTCGAGTCCCACCCATTCCAACACGAAGACCCTTTGGTGTTCCAGACAACACTCCTGATAATTCAAACAGGTGCGTCTCACCCCTCAAACCCACTCTGAAACCGTGTAAGCACGTTTTGGCTCACTGTGTCCCTGTCCCCCGTCTCGTAGCTGGCTGAGTCGTAGCTCGTCTTACACCCGGCGGCTTCATAGTCAGTTAGGGAATGAGTTCACTAGTTCCACTCCATCTTTGCTTCACAGGTCAGTCACGCGGCACACCACCTATTGTGTGTTTACTCGTTCTTTTGTTTGGATGGGTCACAGCTCATTACTCTGCCCTCCCTGCAAGTGCTAATTTGTGTTTGAACACGACTGTGAAAGATACGTTCCGTCTTGTTACTAGTTCGTCTTATAGGAGGAGACTGGACGACAACGGCGTGACCTCGGCGAGCACAGGAACAGGACTCGGCCGCCCTAATACCACCTCTGGGCAAAGGTATTCCATTCTTTGTGCTTTTTGCCATTTTTTTATTTCCTCAAATTAAAAGAAATTTTAAATCTTTATTTTATTTTCTAAGACTTCCTCAGGAACAGACTGAAACAAAGGATGTGTTGTCCATCAACACCTCCAACTCAGGCGATCAGGAGACCAAACAGAGACGAAAGTAAGAGCGAAACATTATAGGTAAGGGAAGTAAACGGTGAGTTGGCATCACTAAAAATGATTCTGCACGCGTAGGTCGTACTTGACCCCGGTGCGGGATGAGGAAGCGGAAGCGCAGAGAAAAGCTCGCTCCCGACATGCTCGGCAATCCCGACGCTCCACTCAGGTTTGGATTCTCAAAATCACCCTCTAGACTCTAATCTGTAAACCTCCCACGGGTTTGATGTTCTCTTTCTCTTTAAGGGGGTGACGCTCACAGACCTGCAGGAAGCAGAGAAGACCATTAAAACCATGACGACGGACAACAAGGGGAGAGAGAAGAAGGAGGAAGAAGAGAAGGAGGTGAAGCAGAAGAAAGGAGAGGAAGGGGTGAGAGCTGTACACATGGGTTGCAGGCCTTTTGGCCGCTGCTCTTGTTTAAACACCGTGTGACATCACATGCTGCGCTTACAGGAAGTGAGCTGGAGGTCTCGTATTGCTAATCTGCAGAAGTCTGACCTGCTGGGCCTCACACAGCCTGCTGGTTCTCCTCGCTCTCAGTCTGACAGGAGAGGTGCTCGCCGCTGTCAGAACTTTTTTCATGTTAAAACTTTTTCTTTTTTTGCTTAAAAATTGTGTTAAAATATTCATTTTTGTTTCAGAGGCTGAGGCTAGCACAGGAGAGAGTGAGACGGAGCGATGGACCAGAGAACGCAGGGAGAGGAGGCAGGCTCGGGCCAATAGGAAGGTGCAGAGGACCGGGGAGGTAAAGGCATGAAAAGTAGATGTGAATTTAATGCAGTTTGATATTTTTGTGTGTGTGTGTGTTTACATTATTCTGTTGGTCATCTGCAGAGTGAAGATAATAATCCAAGTGAAGAGGAGTTCTCAGGAGGTGGACTGGATCCACAGGTAGGGTGTGATGAGTCATTTTAATAATCTGCAGAATGATGGAGGCCATCATTTGTTGCTTTCTTTTCCCCGTGTACAGAAAGACCAGCACACAAGTTCCAGGTAGAGTACGAATCCACAATTGCTTCAGCCTTTGTTGATGGCAACCCATCTGACCTCTGCCCCCTCTTGTCCACTCAGCTTGGACTCATCCTGTAACGATCGGTCCCAGGCAACAGGAGCAGACGCTAAAGATTTTAAGAAGGTCAGCTGACGGAGCTGATAGTGAGGCTGTGTGTTTTCTCAGTAACAATCATTTATCGCCTTAATATTTGTGTGTCAGCTGTTTGAGGAGGTGTCCAGAGAAAACACTCAGCTCCAGGCTCAGCTGCAGGACACTCAGAGAATTGTCAGTCAGACCCGTTTGGAGCTGGAGAAGGCGACTCAGGTGAGGATCTAGTGGTTAGACCCTTCTGGGCCCTCGTTTTAAAGCCACTCTTAAACTTTCATCTGTGGTTAATGTGTCCGACAGAGACAGGAGCGCCTAAGTGACTGTTCAGCCCTGCTGGAGCTGGAGAGAAAGGTAACCAGCTGATTGTTCTGTTTGACTTGGGCTTGCCCTGTAGCTTCATGTGCCTCACTACTGCCACCCATGCTGTCTGACACCTTATCTCTCCAACCACCTCCTTCCTCACTTGTTTTCACTCAACTTTCCTGCTCCTTCCGCTGTACGTCACTTCCTGTCTGCTCCGTCCCTCACGTTTCCACGGCACTAGGACCGGCGGATGTTGGAGCGGCGCATGGCAGAACTGGAGGAGGAGCTGAAGGTGAGAGGAGATGGGTTCAGACTCCGAGTGAGTTAGCTTAGGTCCACCGACACTGCATGTGTGTGCTTGATTTTAGCTTGGCTTTGAGCTCCTGGAGCCTAGCGGCATGAGAGCTCTCACCCTGGTATAGTTATGTATGTTTTACTAAACTTGTACAATAAAATGTATTTTACCCTACGATTCAGATTTCTGCCCGTATAAGTGTATTGCAAATATAGTTGTTGTGTTAATAAATCAGGTTAGTATGAATTACTATGAAGTCTTTAAGATATTTTGAAGCATCAGTAATCCACACTAGGGGTTGTATCGACTTGTCGACTTCACGGCTCTGTAGTGACTTTTTATGCCTTTCATCGACTAGTCGCTGTCACGTGATAATGACCGACAGATGCAATCCTCGTAAAAGACAGCAGGTGATGAGCCCCTGCACTTTGGGAGGCGACATGCTGTGCCAGAGCGTCGGTATCTGACGCCCGCCATATAACAGACATTTGACCGAATTGTGATCTTTACCCTCTTGCAATTTAACCTTCCCCTCACCCCCATCCTAATCTTAACCAGCTTGCGCATGCAAAGCTCTGATCATTGACGCGCTCCAGGCATCTGCGTCCTGAGCACGGCGACAGTAACATTATCAAATCAGGTGTCGCCACCTCAAAAACAAATTTAACACGCAATCGTTCATATCGGCTCATTTCCTTTTGTTTTCTGTCTTTTATTTGTGCCTGATGCGTTTCGCTGCTGCGGAGCGCATCACCCGTTTTGTCCTCGGGTGACGCATCTCACTGATGCGGCCAGCGAGCAGCGCGCACTCTGCTGTTTTTGTGGTCAGTAGATCTTTTAGATCTGCAGTTCAAAGGTAACTCATGAGGTGAATATATATGAAGCCAGGTAGCAGTTTTTCTTTAGGATTGAGAGGAGATGCAGGAAGATAATAAACAGGCAGGACAGAAAAATAGTCAAATAAAAACAAGTTAGTTTTTGTACCTGCTGGTTGCAACAAACAGACACCACTGAAGGTAATCAGAAGTGAGGAACAGAAAATGAAATAATTATTTTAATGTTTAGAGCAGCAGGAACCCTGAGAGGCTGCAGGCGCATCAGTGAGTTTGCTGGGAGGAGGGAGAGGGCTGAAGCAAGATGCAGAAACTACTGTTGTTAAACTCCAGCGAACCCCCCCCACCCCCACCCCCACCCCCCCCCGGAAAGAAAACGCTTGGTCACCCATCGTCAATTTTAGCCGCTTCAGGTGTGTGACGTCATCAACGACGAGTCAAAGTCGACTCGATTTTCATTACTTTAACGGTCTACTTAGTTTTTTTAAGTCATGCAGCCCCTAATCCACACTGGTGTTGCCCTGATTCTAACCAGCCATCAGCTCTTTAGAACTAATCTGTGTTTTTAAACTAAGTAATCGTCTGTTCCTTGTAATAAACTCTCAGATGCAGCAGTAGCTCAAGAAGTAGAGCGGGTTTTCCAGTACAACAGTATCTTAGGTGACTTGGTTATTGTGTTGGCTATGGTAGTCCAATGGTAAAGGTGCATGCTTTCCATCTCAGCTTTGCCAGGTGCTGCCGTGGGTTTGACTCCCGGTCGTGTTGGCAGTAATTTATTTATCCAGCTGCAGCAGATTTCATGTTTTTATATTTTAATTTTATTGATGACTTCCTGCAAAATTTGTGTCTAAAAATCTTTGAATTTGGTTTTTTTCCCATGCAGCATTTTAGTTGATCTACTCAGCTCACCTCACATGGACTCACACAGGCTAAACAAGTTTTAGATTTTAAACATTTTACCAATAAAGGGTTGAAAACATCAAAGTGTAGCTCAAAAAGAAAAGTTACTGCCCAGACCGGGTTGTGCTTTTATGTATGTGAAATATCACAGTAAAATGTCTCAGCTGTCAACGTGAAACAGCTGTTCTGTTTGTTGCCTCCAACTTTAAAAGGCTTGATTTCATTTATTAAATATCCTTTTTAGTATATTTTATATGGTATTTAGGCCGACTGGTTGAAAAGACTGTCTTTAAGCAGAATTACTCCCAAAGCTAATAACTTATCTCTTTCACTGAAATTGGAATAAAAAATGCATGAAACACTTTTTTAATTAAGTTTTTCCTATCAGGTTCTGGTCGACCTGAAAGCAGACAACCAGCGTCTAAAGGATGAAAATGGAGCGCTAATCCGGGTCATCAGTAAACTTTCCAAATAGATGGAGGATTGACCACCAGGGAATCCCCTCTCCCCCTTCATCTGTCCAGTTTCCCCTCTTCTTCTTCCATACATTCCTCCCAGTGCCAAAGACAGAGTGGGGGAGAGGAGCAGCACCAGCACTACAGCTCGACTTGGATTGTGATGCCTCTGTGTGAACAGCTGATGTCTTTGTGTGCCTTTAACGATCATTTGCCAAAGGGTGGCTGCGACCTTGTGTCAGAAGGAACACCAGCGTGCACACACAGTCCCAGGAGTGCGTTCGTGTGTCTTTGATCATGTAAACGCTCATGATAGATTGAGTCTTACAGCATCCACTTTGTATTGTTTTTTTGTGAACACAGTCACAAAACAAGTTATGTTTTTCCCAGCTGCCTTTTATTCAGCATCAGGGGGGTTCCATGATGAATTTCTGTTGGGTTTGTTTTTCACCCGCATACGTTTAAACCCACCTACCTCTCCACCGATGCACCCCCAGCACACACAGATCTTTGCTTTTATTCTTTTGTGATGTTTTTTGTGACCACGGACATAACTCCATGCTCTTAAAAATGAACCGAGGTCAGTGGACCACAGCACTTTACTCTTTGCAAAGCAATAAAACCACCTGCAAGGTCTTCCCCCGTCCAGAAAGACGCCTTCAGTCCAGAGCTTCGTCTTCTCACAGCGGGGGACAAGTTTAAAGGTTGCACAGACATGAGTCTTCTGTCCAGGCCAACTGCTATGACTGGTTTTACTTGTTACCATTGATAAATATATTTTCATAGGTTTTCCATTCAACTTGTCTTGTAAAGAAGCATGGTTTTGTATTTAAATGTTAGGCTTTAATAACACTCCTTGGAAGTAAAAAAAAAATGTAGCCTTGCTCCACATGTTGGTTTCTAATATATGAAATGGATGTCGGCACCCTAATAAAACAGGTTTTATTGCAGCTGTTTGGTTTTATCAGCATCTGAAAACTAACATTCATACACACCCTAATATCACGTCTCCTAGTGACCCGTTTTTGTCACCGAAGTGGTGGAAGTCTCGGTTTGCCTATATCCAGATGGTCTCCATCACTTGAGACAGGAAAAAAAGACAACAGCTGCAACCCTGAGACAGAGGAAGCAGAGCCCCACAGATGTATTTACAGCATGTTTTCTCTGTTACACGAGTCTGCTGCTGCTGCTGCTCCCAGGTGAGCAGTACATCAGCAGTGGCTTTGAGGGACAAGACGTTGGAGGACTCAGACATTTTTGGCTGTTTGTCCCGCTGGAGAGCAGAGATGGACTACTGTCCTGAAGTGCTGACAACAAGCTGAGCTCCTAATAAGGAAGGGCAGGCTGGCCAAGGCGCTCTCTGTAAATATCCCTCAGGTCTGAGAAAGGCATAGGAAGGGAGATGGGGTGGAAGAGGGAAGCGGATGGATCGCAGCCTTATATGGAGAAAGCTCTGCTTTTTCCCAGGGTTTGTGGCTCTGACCCCCGGCATGATGCCAGATGCTGCTCAGATGGCTCCCTGGTGCCACCAAGAGGATCCTCTAGTGTAATGCTGCCAACAGCTGATGGGGAGAAGGGTTTCCAGGGGGGGATAAAAACCTTGAATCAAGTTAAAATTCCCTCAAATGTTTACAACTTCTTCACGAGTCCAATGATGCCTGCTGACAGCATTTAGTAACAGTGCCACAGGAAGAAGCACGGCCCTTTTTGTGTCTCAGACAAGATGGAGGAAATGAATTCTGCTCTATAATCTTTTTAATGTCATCCTGAATGTTTTAACTCTTGAAGGTTTTACCTCATCTCATAAATTTAGAGCTTTGAGAGTGATTTGGTGACAAATATGTTGAAACATCCCTATTGTTAGTAATACTTTTCCTCCAAATGTCTGACGAGAGATAATAAAACCAGTGCTTTGCTAAAACCAATAATTGGATAAATCGTGGATACATTATTTGCTCAATGACTGATGAGTATTTTGGGATTGTGGTTTTTACAAATAGTTTCAGAAAAATCATATGAAACTATTGCATTTAACATATTAAAAAGTTTATTCCTAAAAACACTAAGGTGTTGTTTACTTTACTTTGATTTATAACGGTATGAAAAGTGATTATATGCACAGGTGAAATGGGAAAAATTAGATGGAAACAAATACCTCAGAAAAAAGGCAACACAAGACATCCTAGATCTGAATAAAATATTCTTATTAAATACTTTGTTCTTTACAGTTGAATGTGCTGACAACAAATTCACACCAAAAATATCAAGGGAAATGAAATGTATCGACCCATGGAGGTCTGGATTTGGAGCTACAGTCTAAAAGTGGACAAACACAACAGGCTGATCCAACTTTGATGTAATGCTCTTAAAACAAGTCAAAATGAGGCTCAGTAGTGTGTGTGGGCTCCACGTGTCTGTATGACCTCCTTACAACGCCTGAGCATGCTCCTGATGAGGTGGCAGATGGTCTCCTGAGGGATCTCCTCCCAGACCTAGACTAAAGCATGCACCAACTCCTGGACAGTCTGTGGTGCAACGTGGTGTTGGTGGATGGAGTGAGACATGGAGTCTCAGATCTGCTCAATTGGATTCAGGTCTGGGGAACGGACGGGCCAGTCCATGGCACCAATGTCTCGTGTTGCAGGAACTGCTGACACAGTTCAGCCACATGAGGTCATTGTCTTGCACTAGGAGGAACCCAGGGCCAACCACACCAGGATATGGTCTGTACTTAGTAGCAACCAGGCTACCTGTGGTGAGCTCATGGAGGGTTGTGCAGCCCCCCACAGAAATGCCACCCCACATCATTACTGACGCACTGCCAACCAGATGTTGCAGGTAGAAGAACTTTCTTCACGGTGTCTCTACTCTGTCACATGTGCTCAATGTGAACCTGCTTTTATCTGTGTGGAGCACAAGCCACCAGTGGCGAATTTGCCAATCTTGGTGTTCTCTGACAAATGCCAAGCGTCCTGCATGGTGTTGGGCTGTAAGCACTACCCTCACCTGACGACGTTGGGCCCTCATACCACCCTCATGGAGTCTGTTTCTGATCATTTGAGCAGACAGATGCACATTTGTGGCCGGTTAGAAGTCATGTTGCAGGGCTCTGGAATGCTCCTCCTGTTCTCCCTTGCACAAAGACGGAGGCAGTGGTCCTGCTGCTGGGTTGCTGACCTCCACCATTGTCTCCTGATGTACTGGCCTGTCTCCTGGTAGCACCTCCGTGCTCTGGACACTATGCTGACAGACACAACAAACCTTCTTGCCACAGCTCACACTGATGTGCCATCCTGGATGAGCTGTACTACCTGAGCCACTTGTGTGGGCTGTGGGCGCCGTCTGATGCTACCACTCGAGTGAAAGCACTGCCAGCATTCAAAAGTGACCAACAGCTCTTCTCACTCAAAATATTAAATATGACAGATCTGAGATTTAGTTTTTGACATAATTTGATTATTTCACACAACTTATGAAGAAGTAGAAATGTGCTCAGTGTGGTGGGTGTTTGTCAGGATTTGATTCAGCTGCTGGAGACAAATAAACATACGGCACTTTTCTCAATTGACTAGAAATAGTTGTCATATTTTGCACAGAATTAAAATAATAGGAGGTATTTTATGTTTGTAACCTACAATGATTTAGTTTTAATTCTTTTAATGGGGGTGACCTTGCATGTAATGGTATTGATTTTTATTGCATTGAAAATTAAGAGTTAGACCACATCGGTATATTGGATGTAGGTAAAACGGCAGATACCGGTAATTGTTGAAATTATTTTTCTCGTGAACCATTTTGGTTGCTGATGCTTTGTTGATTCTTAAAAGCGGAGCATCAGCATATAAAGTGGGTCATAAATCATTTGATTGCCTCCTTCAAAGCCAAATAACAAGCCCATAGAAGCATTCAAAGTGAATAATTATCTAAAGGGAGGTGGTGTGTATTTGTTCAGAGAGCGTGATGTGATTAGAACATAAACACTCTAACTGTGACCTGAGAGTATTTCTCCTGCCTCAGCCAAATGGTCACACTGCCCTGCTGTTTGTCGATGCTTGTGCGCGCGCGCGTGTGTGTGTGTGTGTGTGTGTGTGTGTGTGTGTGTGTGTGTGTGTGTGTGTGCATAGGATCACATCCTTTTAAGCCAGTGATGTGACTTGAGTCCAGCTTTAATAAAATGATAAACTCCTGTTATGTCAAAGCATGAAAGCTGCAGCTCACATATGGAAAGAATGCCAGTTGTGCAAAGTGCACGAGTGCACCTAATCCTCTACATCAAATCCATGACAGGTTTTCCAGCAGACCAAAACTCTGTCCAGATTTTCTGTGTGACACAGAGATGAGGCCTCCTCCTCCTCCTGCAGCACATTTACCATAAAAACAACTTATGTGAACAACTCTCCACAGCTTTCATTAAATTCTGACTGATAGAAATCAGAGAGAACTGGCTTCAACTTCAACTTCCTTCAACATAAAGCTGTACACAACTAAAGGTTTGGCCACTTCTTCCGGTTGAGTTTCACTTTTTACATCGTCTTTCACTCTGCATTCCTCTTTCCTCAAAACCAGACGCTTCTTCCTGCTCCTGACCCACTGTTCATTAATAGTGTGTTTAAGACCATTTTACAACTTCTCCTGACTCTTTTATAGGTTTTCAACACTCTAAAGGATTCTTATTGTGTTGTATATTTTTGCTGCAGAACATCTTGAAGTTATATCAGAACACATCTTGTGACATGAAAAGGTCAAAGTGCAGTTTAAAAAGAGGACCAGTGATTACTTGATGTATTGTCTTGTTTTGTCTGCTAAACACACACAAATAATAATAATAATACATTTTATTTCAACAGTGCCTTTCTGAACACTCAAGGACACTTTACAGAGATAAAATACACAACAATAAAAGATAAAACAGCATAAAACAAACAGACAGAATGGAGCAAAGAGATTAACTATTGGAATGCTAGACGGAACATGTGGGTTTTGAGTCTGGTTTTAAAGAGAGTGAGGGAATCAATGTTACGGAGGTCAGGAGGGAGTGAGTTCCAGAGCTGGGGAGCAGAGCGACTGAAGGCCCTGCTCCCCATAGTGACCAGACGGAAAGGTGGGACAGAGAGGTGGATGGAGGAGGAGGACCTGAGGGAACAGGTGGAGGTTGAAGGATGAAGGAGGTCTGAGAGGTACGGGGGAGCTAGGTTATGGATAGCTTTGAATGTATATAGCAGAATTTTGAATTGGATTCTGGAAGTGACTGGGAGCCAGTGGAGCTGCTGAAGAACAGGGGTGATGTGGTGGAAGGAGGGAGTTCTGGAAATGATGCGGGCTGCCGAGTTCTGGAGAAGTTGGAGTTTATGGAGGGATTTGTGAGGAAGACCGAAGAGAAGAGCGTTGCAGTAGTCAATACGGGAAGTGATGAGGCTGTGGACAAGGAAAATACAGTTTTTCACATGTTTTATTTCTCTTTCATGCTGCTGAAGACTCACTGCAGCTCTCTGATCCAACGACCGTCATGGCCCATGTGTCAGACCCTTACATCTTCACCTCTGACACCTTACCCAGCGACCCCCGCTTCCTCCCACCGCTGGCGAACGGGCTTCTGGGCTGGAGGGTGTACAACAACATCATGCACATGGGTGGTGTTTATAATGGGGAGGGTGGACATTGCCACAGAGCTGATGTACCATGTCCTCTAGCAGTGATGATGGAGACAGTAGATCCTGCCAAGCATATCTACACTCTGGACACCAACACAGGTATTTTCCTCAGATCAGGGGACTTTTCATAAAATATAGATGATTTTTATTTAGGTTTTTTTGTTCCCTTCATAATTTCCAGGTATTTTCACCCACACGCTGAGCTCAGCCAGCATGACTGCATCCCAGTCTTTGTACTCCCACCGGTTCTACCCCAACGTGATGGTGATGGAGGTCCTGTTGGTGCGTCAGGTGACTTCGGAGGAGCCAGTTACAGTTACCCTTGACAGCTCGTTCACTCCTCAGAGCAAAGACATCATTTTTGAGTCTGGTCCGGACTACAGAGGTGGAAAGTAAGATTGAAAGCATTTCGTATGGATGTGTGTGTTCAAACTTATTAAAACATCTAGACACCTGTCCTCACAGACATATTCAAGGACAGACAACCACGGCTGAATTCCCAGGAGGATCCTGTCCCACGGTGCACCTCATCTGGACTCCTGTACCCCCCACGCTCACGCTGCTACCTGAGCAAACCAAGGCTCGCTGGGGCTTCATCCTGGTTGTGGCCAACACGATGGACACTGCACAAGCCAGTTACGATGAGGGGCTGAGTCTGATGGCGACGGGCAACCTGCGTCCGTCTCACGAGAAGGCCTGGAAAGAGCTGTGGCTGCAGAGCAGAGTGGAGGTGAAAGGGTCCGAGAGCCTCTGCAAGGCCTTGATCGGCTGCATGTTTTACCTACTCAGTGCCTTCCCGTCCATCCACGACACCTCCACATCTTTTGGTGGCGTCAGTCCAGGTGGACTCTCTAATGGTGGGGATGGTCAAGATTACTGGGGTCATGTATTCTGGGATCAGGTGAGACCGCTGGAAGCTAATATCTGCACATGTTGTTTACCTTTGAAAATGAATGACTTGAAGACCTCCTGTCAGGACGTTTGGATGTATCCTGGAGTAGCACTCTTCTACCCCAAGCTGGCCCGAGCAGTGCTGGAGTACAGGGTGGGGACGGTGGATGGTGCAAAAGACAACGCCCAGAGTCAAGGCTTCAAGGTACGATCAGGGCCAGTTTATGTCCATAACCAGGAGATGTCTCCGTCTTCTGAAAGACATAGGATGTCTTTTCAGGGGCTAAAGTTCCCGTGGGAGAGTGCCGTCTCAGGCAGAGAGGTGTGTCCTGAGGACATCTATGGACAGCAAGAGATTCACATCAACGGTGATGTCGCGTTAGCATTTCAACACTACTTCTACCTTACTGAGGTACGCATGTGTTCCCGCTCGCCCTCGTGATTTCTGACTTCATCATGATGATGATGATGATGAGCTCTCTGTTGCAGGA